GCTTAAGCTTTCCTTCCCCCATTTTCTGTATCTTGAACGGTCGGAGATGAAGAAGCTTCCTAGGAGAAGATGAGGAGAAGGAGAAGGAGAAGGCAAGGGAAGGCAAGGGAGATGAAGGAGAGAGGGAAGAAGAAGAAGTTTGAAGGTGAAAGGAAGTCACTTTGGCCGAGAATGAGGAGATCGTCGGCGTTCAGCGGCGGAACCTTCACTCTGATGAAGGGAGTCGGAGCGGCAGACGATCCAGTGCAGCAATAGAGAAACAAAAGCAAGGTAGTGGTGATGACGAGGGCAAGCATGACGACGAGGGTAGAGAGGTAAGATTTTAACTCCAAAAGCAAGTAGTGAGGTTCGACCTGCGGTCAACGTCTAATAGAAATGAAAATGCGCATATTACGATAAGCTGGCCAAATGGAAAAACCAAATGATAGAGCTGCGTTTTGAAAACACGTAAGCTGATAGTAAGCTGTGCTAAACGACCCTATAGTTTTGGGTGTGGACTCTAATAAAATTGCAATTTCTATAAAGTGGTGGGCCCTATTTTAATCATAAAAAAATATTAAAAATACATTTTTTTTTCACGTGAACCGACTTGAAGATCGCTCGAATACCTTGAAAAAAATGTGCCCCATCCATTAATATTTATTTTTTTGGAGTTATCATCTGTGATTTTAAGGTTTATGGTTCTCCTGCTTGAAGCAACCCCAAGCATTTAGGATTTTTGAAGCAGAGTAGTTTAGCACGACTGAGCTTTTAGCTTCTTCGCCACTAGGGTTGTAAACGAGCCGAGATTGAGCGAGATCGAGTTTGACTCATGTTAGGTTCGTTAGAAATTGTTTGTGTTTGAAATTGGCTCGTGTTCGAAAGAGGCTCGTGAAAAGTGTGTTCGTGTTCGGCTCAAAATTGACTCGTTAAAATTAAACTGAAAAAATCAATATAGAGTGTTGGATTCGAACCTGGACCAAATGAATGCTGAAAAAAGTGCAAAACCACATCACCACACGTACAGTTACGTTTAAACTTAGATATAAATATATAAAATATATTATTATATAAATAATTTTTTTTATTATTTTGAGCTAAAATGATCTGAACACGAGCAAATAAAAAGTTGTTTATGTTCGGCTCATTTATAATTCGAGCTTTAAATACTTATTCGTGTTCGGCTCGTTTACTTAACGAACGAGCCGAACACGAGCTACTTAACAAGCCGAACACGAGCTGTTCGCGAACAACTAACTTTTTTTACAGCCCTATTTGCCAACATACTTGGAAGTGCAACAAAGGTTTTGGTATCTTTGGCATAGGCAATTCAACACCGAAACTCTAACACGAACATTTCGACACTGCCACTTAGAGACTGAGACTCAGGAATCAGCCTGACAAGGTCTCAATATTTTTCTACCTAGTTTTGTTATTCAATGTAAAATGCATAGGTTTCTACATTAGTTGTAATGGATATAATGGAGGAAAAAAACAACAAAGAGAAAGAGAAAAAAACAAAGTAAACAAGGAAAATAAGTCGGGTTTATTTATTTAGGGTTTAGGGTCTATCTTTTTTTAACCAAGAAGTATAATTCTTCATATGATATCAATTTTTTTATGTAAAACTTCACTTGATGCAATATTTTTTCCAGATTCATATGTTCCATGTAAAATTTTAATTGTCTCACTTGTTCAATATAAAATATGCAAGTATCTCATTACAATCATATGTAATTCTGATTTATAATATTGAAACAATGGATTTAGTTTTGGGAGATTTACCAGTTCAATGTGTTTGGAAAACAGAAAAAATCATTGTTTAGCCTTCAAATAACAGTCAATGTAAAAACTATTTGCAGGCATCTATCTATACATCATGAAACATTATAATGTCATTATATTAAAATCATAATACAACTTTAATTCTAACACACTACAACCATAATTCCACTATAAGAGAACCAGAATACCACCATAATTCAAACATATTATCATTAATTGAAGAAAACCAAATAACACCTATGATACAACACAACCAAAATATCAGTGTTACGTTATTAGAAAACAATTCATCACAACACCACCATCCTATCAAAATACTTGACATCACTTTACAACTTGAATACTACAAGATCATCACCAGAATACTATATAAAAAATACAAAAAAAAAACATCAAAATATCATTATTAAACCACCACAATACCACCACAACACTATCATAATACCGCCAGAATACCATTTTAATACCACAAAAAATTCCATCAAATTTTATCACCCGACTTTCATGATAATACAATTAGAATACTATCAAAATACCACAAGAATACCACTTAAATAACATCAAACCAAAAATACTAATAGAATACCACCATATATTTTTGGTGGTATTCTAATTATATTATGGTGATATTAAAGCGGTATTCTGGTGATATCTTTACAGTATTATTGTGGTACATTGATAATATTCTTGTTGCATTCTTGTGGTATTTTTGTTATTTTTTGGTGTTTCTGTGGTATTCTGGTGTTTGGTAGTATTTTGTTTTTTTGTTAGTGGAATTCTAGTAGTTTGTTGGTGGCATTCTAGTTGTATTCTTATGATATTTTGGAAGGTATTCTGGTAGAATTATGGTGATACTTTGGTGGTAATTCTGTTGGTATTCTAGTAGCATTATAGTGGTTTTTTATTGGTAACCCTTTGATTGGAATCCAAGTGCTTTCGTATAGAATCGTCAGATCAATATTTTGTACCGTTGGATCTGCTTTTCTGTGACATTCAGTTTGCATCTGTGATCTTTCATATGGGACAGTAAACCCACAATTCTTTCCTTCTATTTTTCTTATCATTCATATTTTGAATGCCTCCTGAAGATGAACCCACAATTTTTTTCATTCCACACCCCCCCCCCCCCTATATAAGGAATGAAACAAGATTCTTGAAAGTTTTTTTTTTGTTTTTATTTTTTTTACTTATTAATGCTTTAAAAATATAGTTTATTAATATCCTAATATAGTAAAACTACTAAGACACATATTATTATCCAAAATTGAGGTGAGGCACACATTCAGGATGACCTCATATTATGCGAGGCATAAGACTCATATATTATCCAATGAGTTGTAAGTCCCATTACATTTTATTTTTAAAAGAGTTGAGAAATATCTCATATTGTGCACTTTTAAATCATGATTTGAAGTAAATTGATAATCTCTTAACATGCGAAACAGATAACTAAAGATTTATAAAAATAATATAAATTAAATTATAAATCCACAGTTTGACATAATTTACCTCATGCTTTTTCTAAAAAAAATAAAAACATAATTAAACATTATTTTAGAATTTTTAAAATTATAAGAAAATTAAGGAAAGAACCAAGTTTTGACTACAATTCTCTTTTATGGGCTCTCTTCCCTCCATTTGTTTCTCCTCCTTAGTCTTTCTAAAATAATCTCTCGCTCTAGTTCTACTTTCCTCAATCCACATGTACACTAACAATCACTTTATACTCCCCTCTAAGCCTCTCAGTCTACTTGTATATCCCTTTAATTCACCGGTTCAAAACTTCTCAATAACTGCTTAAGTAGCCTCCTCCCATCCCCTCCAACAGCTTGCTTTAAAGCAAAATTGGATCAGATCATATCACTGTGAAGGTGGATCTATAATGACTTGGTGATGTGTTCTTTTATTGTGGAATTGGGTGTAACATCATAGTGCATTGGTTAAATACCTCAGTCATGCCTTCTTCATTTCAAGATTGGGTGTACCACCACAGGACTATAAAATATAATGTCACAATGCAACATTCTCTGTTAATTCTGAAATTTTTATTCTATGGTGTAGCACCACTGCACTACAGAGCTATAGGTTAGAAATTAAAGTTTACTCACTTTTTGTTATAATATCATGTCAATGTTATTTTAGTTCTTTCTTACTTAATATGAATCATACTTTTATCACATCCGCTTGTTTATGCAAATTTCATAAAAAATAATCATTGAATTTATTTATTTTCATTAAAAATGAGCTAAAATAATAAAATATTTTAAGTAAAACTCATTGATTATCTGTCTCGATTGTATGGCTGATGTCATTCTTTGTCTACATACCTGGTCCCTTTTCTTGCCCTAGATGCTTCTCAATTCTATCTAGATCCCTTGGTACTTTAAAGATGAAGTATTTTGTATGTTTTTTCTATATGCCTTTGAGGTTTTGCATCTTTGAATGGATTCTTATTTATAAATAAAAATAAACTAATTATATTCGAGCTCCCCCACTTTTATTGCATTGATTTGTATTAATTTTATAAAGCCTCGTTCCATTTTTTTCTTCCACCTTTTGTTGCGTACTTATGATGGATTTACTAGTTCTCTAATTCCAGTCTTTAAGTTATTTTGGAATGGTATAATCAATGACTTTTTTTATGTTACTTTATTTTGTTTCTTCTTCCTTACACTTGTTAAATGTCTATCCTTTCACTAGATTTGGGCTCGGTTGAATGACATTCTAAAGAAAAGATATATTACATTGAGATCTACTTATTGGCACTACTTGAAATATGGCTCAAGGCTATTATTTATTTTTTACCCATTTTGTAAGTTCAGTTGTTGAACTGAGGCTTTTTGATTGTAAGTTTTTGGATCCATTTGGTTTTTTGTCTGGTTTGGGATATTTAATCATCTTAAATTGCTATTTCCAGTTACAGTTGAACACGATCTCACTCATTTATAAATTGAAGTTAATGAAGTTACTGAGGGCCCTGTCCATCAATATTCACAAATTGCTTCTTGAAGTTAATGAGAACTTAATCCAAATTGGTTCAAATTCAAACTTAATTAGAACCTTTAATAATAATAAATAATAAATAAAAACTCCAAAAGCATCACCACGGAAGTTGTTACTGAAGAAATTATATTTGCATGCTTGGGACTTCCAATTTAAAGGCTTGTTTGCCTTCAACTAACGACACTACTAGAAGTATTCCGCTTCCACGCTTCAACACGGAAAAAGGATGGTCGTAGATCACCAAGTCTAATCTAAACTTTTTCCGAAGTGTTGATTTGACATTGATTTCAAATATTGGAAGAAATAAAAGAAAAACTGCAACAGTTATCAAAATTCAACCAACCCGCAACTTATTTCCGTTTTTACCACTTGCATCCATACATTAAAGATACAATTTCTCTCGCAGAGCAATCGGAATGGTTTTGAGAGACTAATAAGATGGCAGGCAGAGCATACCAAACCAGCTACAGAAACAGAGAACGAGCTTAGAACTAGACATCATCTTCATCTGCAAAAGAAATAAAAAGTTTTTTTTATAAGGAGTACATTATAAATTTCAAATTTATGCATAAACATGCTCTCTTATATTGGAACGACTTGAAAATGCAGATGGAAAAATTTGTAATTAAGATTACAATTTTGACTAAACAATAAAATGAGAAAATCAACTCAGAAGGGGGATACTCTTTGTTCATCTCATATTTCGAAAGATTATTAGTCCCTATGGAGGCCATATTTTATAGATAATGTTCATTACATGGAGAATTTATTAGAGGTGTAGCTAAAGATTATCCAGTACATTGGTCTGGATCTCGAGTCTATGGTAATCTGTATTTTTATTAGCTGGATTCACATTTGCAATCTCAATACAGGCTAATGCAACTTGCCAAAGTTAGGGTAGTAAGACAAAAATCAGCAGTAACTTGAAACGTTTGGGCTTCACATTGTTGTTTTCTGTCTCATTATGCTATTGAGTCAGCAGGATGAGAAAAATTCACGTACGGAGAATGCACGCAGCTCTCCGTGCGTAATCCCCTCCACATTTTGCGGTTACACTTTCACATTTTCTCTTATGTTAGGGAATTGACTCCAAATAACGCCGAAATAACTCCGCAATAACCCCCAATAACCTTCGCATAGATTATTGAGAGTAGATTATGCACGAAGAGCTGCGTGCGTTCTCCGTGCGTAAATATTTCTCCAACAGAACGATGGTACAGGTAAAAATTTTGGGGCGCTCAAAAAGTTGTGGTTAATGACAAATTATTGTGATGGTGATTGGTTCATTGAATGACTCATATGGATAATATTATGATTTTATACAATTATTATAAAATATCATAACTTTAACAATTATATAATTAATTAAAATAGGTTTATTAATAGCATTGCAAAATCAAAAGCAAACATGGAAACAATTTGTTTTAAATTTTTTGCTGATTATATCTTTTCTTTAGATTGCCCTTAAAAATTCGTTCTATAGCCTTGAAATGAAGGATCCAATCTTTTACTAAGAGAATTTTTTTTATGGAAATTGTCAAACATACCACACAATTCTTACATATCTAAAGCCCTATGTTTGATAATTACACTTGTAACACCTTTATAATATACGAATGAAAATATGAATTTCACTTTTAAAAATATAGTGATGATAATGTTCTGGATGTGATATTAAAATCTGAGCCTTTGCATATGCTGCTGGTCATTTTTAACGGACTCTTTTTCTAGGACGTTCACTTCCTGCAACAACAGGCCTTTTCTAGAAGGGGCACGAACATGTAGAAAGAGGAATCTTTTAGAGCTAAAAATAGCTTTTCCTTCAAGATAGGATTGAAATATAAATAGTTATTACCTTTCTCTGTTCACGGAGATGGTACTATTAAACCACCACCATTTACAGAAAAGAATAACTACTGATATAAGAGAAAGAGACAAAGCAACGCATACGGTTAGAATGGGAGAGGCAGATAGATGACAAAAAAGTGAGGACAGAGAGGCCCGAACAGATTGGTTAGATCGTTTGCTTAGGTCTGTATAGAATGAACCTATCATACCCAACAACTCTTAGGAGTTGTTTGGCTAAGCTTTTACTTTAATAAAATTTTGTTTAAAAACTGTTTTAGAAAATAGTTGTGTTAAAAAGTTTGAAATAGCCTGAAAATGGAGTTTTTTTTGAAGTATTTTTAAGTGTGTTATAATCAAACAATATACCAGATGAATAAACCGGATTTTCTAATGGGCTACAAAAGTGTTTCAAAAGGAACCTTAGATTATCAGTATTAACAAAGTTCCAAAGGTATATAGTAGCTAGTTTATCATACCCAGCACAGTAGTCCCAAGCAAATAGATCTGATGTTTTTTAAAAGTACTAATGTAGCTATTTTGCTTGAACGCTTGGTTGAAAATAAAATGAAAATTTCCAAAGGGTGGGGTTTACAGAGCCCAAATAAGTTGGGAGTATTCCATGTGACAGAAAGTAGAGAACCAGATCACCATGATACCATTGCTACATCCCCATCACCATTAGCTCCAAGCTTAAATCAGCAAATCAAGGCTTGCACAAATCTCAACTTTTGGCGCTTGGCAAATTTTCCCAAGGAACTTAAACACAAATGACATACTTAACTGTGCCAATAAATTGCGTTCTAGTAGTACCTCATTCATTGCAAATTTAGTGTAGTTTCTTTCAGGCCAATAATTAGCGTGAAGAAATTTGTGGCAACAAGTTTTGACGAACATAAAAAATTTTCCCCGTCTAATTGAGCTTAAAATACTACTTCAAAGTTAAGACTACCCCTTTTTCTTCTCACTCCACCTAGCGCGCCCGATCTCGGCCTTTCTTCTTTGCTCGAACTGGTAACCTCTCCGGCACTCCTCTTCTCTCTGCCAATACCTCCCCTGCTTCTTATCCTGAGTTGTCCCTACGGTGTTTACAACTCGGTTATCTTTCTTCATAGAATTATGCATCTAGAATTTCAAGTATCAAATTTTTTGTTTAGTTGATTAAGTTATGGTTACATAGTGTCTCAATCTGTTGTGCAGTTGAATTTAATAATCTCCACTATTTTTTGTGAGTGAGTCAAGCAAATCTATTGTACCTGTAGAGTTAATGTGATGGAGATCTGTCATTTTATTTTTGTTTTCTATTATGTTCCAAAGTTGAGCTTTTTTGAATGAATAGGTAGTAGTCTACCCTTGCAATGGCACAAGTTTTGTAATTCTTTCTCAGAAACTCACAACCACCTATTCTTTCAATGTTGTATGTTAATCAGGCTACTTAGAAATTTGCTTTCTATATGCTCCTTGTTCTTGATGGAATCTAATGCGGACTCAATCTTGTCAGCCAAAAGTTGTGCTAATCATTATGTTGTTGAAGACTCCACTCGTGAATTTGTGATTATATGGTTTTTTGCGATGATATTTTAAAATGGCCTACACTCTTCTGCGGTTTGCCATGCTCTTATGATATGTTTGCCCCTCTTTGCATCTCTACAATGATGTAAATTATGAAATTTAAGCTTTAAGGGTGCAACCTAGCAACTGCCACCGTTTGATCTATTACATTCACTTGTGATTATGATGCTGTTGGAAGACATCATTTGGCTTTAGGAGGCTCTCATATCATCAAATAGGTCATTTGTAAAATCATTGTGTGATTTCTATGTTCTAGAAACTAAGCATTAGTATTATTTTCTTGTAATTTTGGATAAACTATAGTTTGCTTTTTCACATATTACTGATAGTTGAGTTCAATTTCTCTTCTTGCATGAGCTCGATGGTTCCTCAAAAATGACAATCTCATTGGATTGAAATGGTGTAAAGTTTAACTTCAATTTTTTTTGCTAGATGCCCTTTGCTTAAAGTTTTCAACTCATTTCAACAAATAGGCATATGGCACATAATTTGCTATATGCGACAAAGAAACAATAATGCTTTTTTGATATATGTATGAAAGAAATTGAATTATGAAATAAACCAACAACACATTTCAACAAAGAAGGTTGGCATAACAAATTTTCAAGAGAAAAACGGAAGAGTGTGTGACCGAACTCAATTAAAGAATAAATGTGACCAATTAAGAAAGAATTAGATGATCTGGAAAGAGCTCAAAGAAGATTTATCAGCCTTAACTGAGATCATATTAAAAACAGCATAAATACATCAACAGATTGGTGGACGAAGAAATTATAGGTGAAATCTATTTTTTGACATATAGATTTATATTTTTTTTTTGGCATGCACAATTGTTATACATAAGTTCTCCTTCTGATTGTATGAATGACAGACTCGGTCAAATGCTAAGAAATTTAAGTTTGGTGGAATTGAACCAGAGCTAAAAGAGAAGCTTGATGTTATGTTTGGCGGGGTAGTTACGATTGGTGAAAGTAATTGGACTCCTCAAAGTTTGCAAGAGCCTAGAGAGAGCCCGATTGATCCTGTTCAAAGATCACTGCATGAAATGAATGATTTTAGTGAATCTAACAATGCATGTACACCACCTTCTTTAAAAGCAAGGGCAATTCATACTAAAAAAATTGATCATTCGTACCTAAGAAGCCAAATATCCGAGCTAGGTACAACATGCACAAACTTATCTTTTGAGGCGACCACTGCACAACAATCTTCATTCATTTCTGATGTAATAAAATATTAAAACGAATACCAGAAAATTTTGAAGATACTCCCCTATATTTCTACTCATTGAAGCTAATTGAAGATCATGTGAAAAGGCATGTTTTCACGTCCATGGCACCTTAGAGGAGGGTCTATTACATACGCTTTTCTATGAAAATCACAATGTTTGATTACTTTTGTTTATTTGTGTTTTGAGTGAAGTTCACTTGATATTTTGGTTTAACAACTACTTATGACATTACTTTTTTTATGGTAGAATAACTGCATTTGATGTAATCACATTTTATGATACAATTTGGCAGAACAATTATATTTTATGTTAACACTTGTGATGGTTCATCTCATTTGATTTAAGTTATTGTAATATTTTTCTCCATTATTTTTCCACCAATGAATCTTAATGAGAGAGTACGTAGAGAGTGTTGCTGAAAAATTATTACAACAATTCTATGTGTGTTGATTAAGTACTATGAATCAACCATCTCTCGCATTCCATGTATGCCAGTTATCGGGGACAAGTAGGTAAATGAACTTCTTGGGAGAATCCAAGCAGATTTCATAACATGTTTTAAATGAGTCAAGTAACCTTTATTGATCTCTAGAATTAACCGCACAATAGTCATGGTCTTTGTGACTATTCTAGAATGACTTTGAAGAATGAATTGGCTATAACACTTGACATTTTATCACACAATAAATATATAAGTATGACTTCTGGATTGGCATGTGAGAGGTCATGTGAATTGGCATGTGAGAGCACTTATCTGAAACCAACAGTAGATATTTCTTTGTTGGTTTAAATATCATAATAAGTATGACTCTGGAGAGAGAATTTGTACATATTCCTAATATAAATATTCAGCTATAAGG